TTAATTTCTCTCTAACTTGACATGCACATTTCTGCTATCAAAATTCTCCTTGACCAGTGCTTGATAATCATGCCCATGGGACAAACTGAATTCCTCTCAAAATATTAACATTCGTTACAGATTGCTGTAAAGTATATGATGAAAAAATAAGTTTTTACTTAATTTAACATTTTTTAATAAGGATACTACTATATTTTTACATTTTTTAGGATTATGAAGTTTAAAATTTAAAAGACTTAGTATTTTAAATATAATCACTATAAGTAAAGGTCACAGTGACCTTGAAATAGGCCGCAACACACCTTCTACCATAGATGTATACTTTTGCCAAGTTTGAAAGCTCTAGGTCTAACAGTTTTCTAGTTATGAGCCCGACAGGATTTTTCCATATTTGGCTATAGCATCTTTATTAAAGGTCAGAGCGACCTACTTTTTGTGCGCGACACACCGTCTACCCAAGAACTATCAGTTGACAAAGTTTGATAATCCTAGGCCTAATAGTATTAAAGTTATGAGCCGGACACGAATGGACAGACGGACATGAAGCCTATAACATAATACGTCCCGTCTTAAGACGGGCGTATAAAAAAAAAGACACCATGCTTTCATGCCATCAAAACATAATCCATTCTTTTTTTTCATAATTAATTTATCATCACTCAAAAGAAACCAATTGAACAGTTACCATGACTTTGTTGAGGGTGTAGCGATGAGATTTGATGTCGTCCAGAAGGATTTCAAAGGGAGTTAACTCATACTCTGTTGGCGTTGTGATGTGCTCCACTGCCTTTAACCTGACCCCTCGTCTTAGTTCCTTCATAATCTGCACCCATAATCGAGCCTGAAAAAAGGGAGATCATGCTACATTGGTGTTAACCAAACAAACAAAAAAATTAAGTTTAACTTTTTATAGCTAGTGTATCTTACCAAAAAGCATTGCTCTTCAACAGAAACCAAACAAACTTTTTCAAAAGTGTTTGGGCAATCTCCCATCTCACCCATACTGCCCAAAATACTGGTGTATTACAAATGCTGTACCAATTATGTGATAATCATTTCATTAATTCATACATTTCATGATATAATTTTCTGTGATTTTTTTTTGCCTGTTTAATAGCCCTGATATTTACTGTATATTTGTAGGTAATGGATTTCTCAGTTTGGTGGTCGGAGATCAATATCCTTATTAGCCTGACTTTCCAGCCCTAACCCTGGTATATCATTCTGTATAATTACAGCTTCATGAACCAAACACTCAGACCAAAACCCAAACCACTGACAAAGCAGAAATCCACCTGATCAATAGAAACTCTCAAATGTTTCACTCAGTTGGCATCTTCACAAACCTCACCAAAGATAGGCATTAAAAATTCTGTGGGCTTCCAAAGTTGCTATATCTTCATCATATGATGCTTTAGTAATGAGTGTCATTTATTATTAACCTGATCTCATGTTATTTAAGACCATTCTTATTTATCTGTCCAAAATCATATAAATAATAGAAATTCCAAAAGTCCATTTTGTCAACACTGCAGGAATCTTTAGTTACATTAGGAATTTTTGGGACACAATTCATTACCAGAAAGAAATGCAATTTCTCAATTTATAATAATAGGAGATAATGCTGTGATACACATCTTTCTTATCACCAAGAACTATAGACAATGCTGAACCCCTCTCCCCCCAACAACTAGCCTGAAGCAGATGCTGGACCTACCTCTCTCTAATCCCCCCTCCCCCCAGAACTAGACAATGCCATATCTTCATATCTCTCTGAACAATAGACAACACTTGACCTAACCCAGTCAGACCTCTGTAGCTCCTCAAACTTGCCCTATCCCCCTGAACTTAAAGACAACACTGGACCTACCCAATGAAACCTTTGTAGCTCCTCCAGCCTTGCCTACCCCCCCCCCCCCCCCCCCCTGAACTGTTGACAATGCTGGACCGCTGGACCTACACTGTACCCAGTCAGACCTCTGTAGCTCATTAAGCAATGCTTGACGATCCCCTCTAAACTAAAGAGTCAGAACCTCTGTAGCTCAAGCTCTGCTCTACCTCTATGACCTATAGTAAATGCTGGACCTACATCTTTCAATCCTGAACTATAGACAATGCTGTACTACCCCCCTGAACTACAGACAATGCTGGACCTACCCAGTCAGACCTCTGTAGCTCCTCGAGCCTCGCCTGATCCCCCCCCCCTGAACTACAGACTAATTGCTGGACCTACCCAGTCAGACCTCTGTAGCTCCTCGAGCCTGGCCTGGTCCTCGTCCTGTACCACCTTCTCCAGCTGTTTCTTGCCTGAGGAGATTCTGTTGAGGAAGGTAAGTAGTTCTTCTGCCTCGGCCACCAGGGCCTTACACACTGCCTTGTAGTGCTGACCCACATTGAGGTCACTGGAAATGTGCTGGGAACACAACTGAAAGCCATACAAAGAATTAGAATATAATTACATTACAATTACATTGTTTGACTTTATATTTAATACTGTAAAATTTAAATCATAAAGATTAGAGATGGAACTTATTCAAAATTTTTCAAGAATACCATGTCCCACCCTGATTTCATCCATAGTTGGATGTGGGAAGGGGGATTGGGGTCACCTAAGAAGCTGTTTAAATTGCTATGAATAAAATTTATGGATAAAACATTAAATAATTAGATACTCAATACAAATTCAAAATGATTTGGCATACTGCACTGTCTGCATAGTGGTTGGTTTATGTCTAATTGATTATCTCATAGAAATATTCAGGCAAAATATCTTTGTGGAGTTCCTGTCTTACTTTCAAACCCTGAGGAACTGTTTATTTTATTGCATACCAAGATAAACATTCTCTCTGCTTCAAGGGATCAATCCTTCTCTCTTTAAAGTATGTTTACCATTTCCAAATAAGCAATTCGCTCAATTTCATCATAATACAGCTAACATACTGCAGTGTTGCTTGTTGCATGAAAGATATTTTTTTTTCTTGTTTGACGCTTCTTAAGAAAAGTAGATGCATTAATTTGTCAAACAACCTGCAATACATTCTTATATTCTAATACCGGTAATATAAATGCTTGTATTGATTCTATTTTTCCCAATACATTCAGTCTATAGTATAATGATAAAATCACACATTATGATCATAATTTCGCCCTATCCCAGATAAAATAAATTGATGTGTAACAAATCAAATATTGGTGGCTCTTATTATTCTATGGAATCCTGAGGTCACGTTATTGTTAAGGTGGACACAGGAACAGAATGTCCAATGACATCCGGTCAGTTAAGTACAAACAAACAAACTGCTTAGACAGCGGAGATTGGTGACAAAATCCCCCACAGCTAGATTAGTGAAGAACAACAGGATTAAACAAGATCTGGTGGGGGGCCACCCTCCTCTGATAAACTAACACTCTGATAGGACAGGGTATCAATACCTCACATGGCAAACTGTTTTTACATGCATTAGTCAAAAACTTTGTTTATTCCTTGTCAGGGTTTTTCTTGATAATGGAGATTACAGGTGCATTTTATCAATTAAGTATTTTTGTGTCTGTCATATTCCTACCAAAAAGATTTAGGCCATAAATTTCAATTTGAAGTGCCAATCAAACAAGTGGTATACATGTACAATGAACATCAATGTTAAATGATAGCCAGATATCAAAATTACTCCAGCCCAACAGCCATTATCATTAAGTAACACTGGTGCTAAGTCCATTTTGCTTCCAAAAAAGTTACTGTTACATGGGTCATATTTGCTTAAAATTAAATAAATGTTCTAAAAGTCCTGGGTCCATGGCAGTTCTAACTTTTCAGGTCAAGGTCATTCATACATATTTGAGACTGAATCTGTATAATGTGGTGAAACCTGCCATATCAAATCAATACAACAGAACAGGCATCACTGAAATTCTTTTCTTTGAGTGCACAAAGATGACAACTAATGCAGGTGGACATTGTATCCAACTCATATACATCTGCTTACAGATGCAGTTTCACCAAAGAAATTCAAGGCTAATGGTTTTACCACACATATTTTTACATTTTCTTGGTTTCATTTTCACATTTGTTAACAAACTGTATAACAAATATCTTATGACTAACACGTTTTAATATAATTGTATAATCATGATAATGTTGTAAAAATGTAAATCACATTCCATTTCAAATATTTCTATGACTAACTGCTACTCATTCATAAGTGTTTATATTTGAACAGTTGGAAATTTAATTTCAGACTCGTGTTTGTTGTTTTTTAATATGTTGTCCTAAAGAAAATCTTTGCGTGACTTTGTACCATTAAAAGCAATACACATATCTTGGTCTGGATATTAGAAACACTCAGTAACAATCAAAAGGGTGAAACTAACCTTGAAAAATTGTTTTCAGATTACAATTTTTTAAAAAACCCTTTGATCACTAGTTGCAATTAAAATTTAAAAGGCACAGCACTGCTCATATGTCATGTGTAATTTGTAGTTCATACACAATTACATTTAGTCAATTTAGCAAAACTACCTTTAATATACCTCATATATTTTAATACACACTTTTTCAACAAAATTTAATAATTCAATGGATATGTATTTTTAAATAACTTTGTACAATAAATATCAAGCATAATTTTACAATTAGCACTCAGGTGCTAGAAGTAATTAAGGTCAGCATGTACTGCTTCTATGAATTATTTTATTTTTACATGTAATATAAATATATCTGAGTCACCTAGGACAAAATTGCAATGTGATGCTTCAGTTGTGAACCATTTTTTTATGTGTACTGTGAAGTCAATGTCATTTTAAGGTTGTCTTACAAATAAGGATATAACCTAAGAAGCTGAGATGCAATCTCTGTAGACAAATCTTCCTTATTTGGTTATTATGCAGTGGTAATGTCACCAAGACCCGAACACCTCAGTTCGAAGAATTGAAAAATAAGGCTAATCAAAGCTCATATTTCTATGCAATTTCCCCTCCACTCCATACAATTTGAAATGATTCAGCTTTTCTAAGTGGAGCTATCTACCTGAGTTTAACATGTTGATTGATGGGAGACAATTATTGTCTCTAAATGTAGATGTTCTTTTATATAAATGGCAGAGGACCGTCTTGTCAAAGTGTGGAATCTCCTAAAGGAAACATAAACTGTCCCAACCATCTGTTGCGGACTGGTTTAATTCATCCCTATTTATCACAATGATGGAAAACGCCTTACTAATTTCATCTCTCTATAGGTACATATACAGAGAACAAATTAAAACTTTTGTATAGAAATATTTGTGGAATTTGAGTGGGCCTTTACCCCTAAACATTTGTCTCATCTCTCCGTTCATTTCTGTACCATCAACATCAATTACAATAACCTTTCACATTTGTCTACATTGAAATTAACTTACTATTTTGTAGATGATTGATTAAACCTGATATATATCTAAGTATTGACAAGGCTTAAAATCTGTGAAATTTTATCATGGAAAAACTAGGTACACATAAATATTTCATGTCAGAATTTGAAGCCTTCCTAATCACTGAAGGGGTACACCTGAATGTAATGATCAATCGATTCCTAGCTATACCTGACCAGATTTCATTAGTGTTGCCAAATTCTGATAAAATACGGTCTTCTCCATGCCTGGAATTTTAATTCAGTTTATCTACTGTTAATGGAAAAACTCAACACCCCTGTGCTTCAAAATATACACTCTGCCATTAAAATACTTGTGAAGGTTATATTGTTATTTTTCCCTCTTTGGTTGACACTATAAAGAAGTATATTTAGAAGTCCAAACATTTAGTATTCCTTATAGTCAAGTCCACATATTTAAACTATAAATGTACCTGAATGAAACACCTGTCACTTTCAATTTTGTTTGTTCAATCATACATTCATCTCAAATCAATTTCTACACAACATTCACTTCTATATTGAGAAGAATGTTAAAAGAAATTCAGACCAAATATCTCTCAATACTATCATAAAGCTTATGTTCTTCAAACTTTTGATTCAAAACACTTAAACTATAAAAACCCAGACCAAAAAATCAATAGGTAAGCTTTCTTATCAACACTGGGGAAGGGGTGGGGGGATCACCTTCTTATCTTAATTTGGACTCATCTCAGCTTCCTTTTCAGGTATTTACAAACTTTGGACCCATCAATAATAACTAAGGAATAAGAAGTTCAGATTTTATTAAAGGACTGTTTGAGATCTTGTTTGTTCAGGTGTGGGTTGGGTTTGACAACTGTCTCCTATAAAAACTTACAGGTCTTGTAGACTTGACATCAAAAAGGAAGTTTTTATTTGAACTGGTTTAACAGTTGTCTCTACTCATTCCAGGAGATCTGTCTTTTATATCTGTCCTAATTATCTGGTTATTTTGTTAGGTTTTTATCATTTGACTGATCTGTATTGAATTAGATAAAAAATACCGAAATTTCCTTTATCTATGAGGTTCATTTAGATTTTCACCACTCTTTAAGGTTATGAATGAATTTGAATTGAAATTCAAACAAAAGCCTCCTGTAAAAATCAACACCAGTCCATATCAGATTTAGCTGATTAGCTTAAACTGGATTAAAAATGTACTTGATTCACATTGTGTCTATGCCCCATTTCTAATACATGTACTGTGGGTGAAACTGATTTGTTTTACACATGCATGTATTTGATATTGTATGATTCTGGTTCAGTCAACTAACACTATAGTTGAGAATTACAGTGAGTCATCCTACCAAGGATACAAGTTAATCCAATTTTACTTTATGGAGTGGACCAGCCATATAAAAATTGTCTTCCTGACCTGCCTGATTAAAAGAATTAAGGCTCATCATGGAAGAATGAACTTCCATAATACACCCATAGACAACAGTACATCTATACTGCTAATAGTAAATTTTGTAATAAGATAAAAGTCTTTCTTATTTACTACAGGAAAATTTTGATGATATGTTGGGAACCCTAAATGCAAGCCACAGTTATGCATAAAAAATACTCCTGTGGAGCTACGTACCACAATAATGTCTGCGAACGTGTACCCCTCCTTGGCGTCTTTCTCGATCCCCTCGTCGCACGCATTCTGTAATTCCTCATCATCTTCCTCATCTGGATTTATCATCACCTCCAGGAGATGTTCCAGGCTGTGACTGAGGTGTCGCTCCTCGGATTCCTGGAGTCCGTAGTCCAGAGCATGGTAGATAACCACTCCAAGGGCCTGGATAGCCTGTAAAAGAGAGCACAGCATGAACCCATAGCCTGTAAAACAAAGCAAAGCATGAACCAATATAACAGGGCAGAGCATGGTAGATAACCACTCCCAATGCCTGGATAGCCTGTAAAAGAGAGCACAGCATGAACCCATAGCCTGTAAAACAAAGCAGGGCATAAACCAATATCACAGGGCAGAGCATGGTAGATAACCACTCCCAGAGCCTGGATAGCCTGTAAAAGAGAGCAGAGCATGAACCCATAGCCTGTAAAACAAAGCAAAGCATAAACCATAGCCTGTAAAACAAAGCAGAGTTTAAACATATTAAGGCTTGTAAAATTTAGCATCACATAAACTAAACTTATGAAACAAAGCATAACAAGAACCTATCAAGTCCTGTAAAACACACACAGCATAGATTGAACCAATAGAGACCAGCCTGTAAAACACAGCACAGCAGGAACCACTCAAGGCCTGTAAAACATAGCATAGAATAGAACATAGCATAGAATTAACCAATCAAGGCCTGTAAAACACAGCATTATAAAGAATCAACCAATCAAGGCCTGTTAAACATAGCATAGAATTAACCAATCAAGGCCTGTAAAACACAGCATAGATTGAACCAATCAAGGCCTGTAAAACACAGCATAGAATGAAATAATCAAGGCCTGTAAAACATAACACAGAATTAACCAATCAAGGTCTGTAAAACATAGCATAGAATCAACCAATCAAAGCCTGTAAAACATAGTATAGAATTAACCAATCAAGGCCTGTAAAACACAGCATAGCATGAACCAATCAAAGCCTGTAAAACACAGCATAGAATTAACCAATCAAAACCTAGAAAACAAGAAGCTAGGAACTGATCAAGACTTTCTAAACACAGCAACCCTTAACAGCCATTTTGTTTCCAAAACAATGCTGAAATACTGACCAAAGTTGTTTTTATTTGCAATAAAATTATAAAAACTTTCCCTGATACCTGTTCAGTTGCTAATTCATTACACACACTTTATAATATTTACCTGGCAATTACTATAAAGTTCTAATCATACAAGAAATATCAAACGGCACATCTATGACCTTAGATCTCTCTCTAAACTAGATTGTAAGCTATACTAAATTATAGTTTAGTCCAGTCACTTATAACTGAACATTCTTATGTTTCTTTAAAGATTTTGGATAAGAAAAACCTGTTGTAATAGGAATGCCAATTCAAAAAAGAATTAATTTTGATCTTTTACCAATATTATTTACCCTCTTCACTTGTTTCAAAATATTCATCAAATATGCAAAGACAAAATTACATTTGATATTCTGGAAATTTACATTTCATTTGATAAAAACCATTCCATTAAAATGACGGACTACCTAAAGTTTTGCCTGGTTTGCCACCATAAGGTAAAACTTATCTATTATGATCAAAAATACACAGTTTAAAGACTACAACAAGGAAAACAGGAATGTGTGAGAGGTCAAGATGTTTGTATTACGTAATTCTGTCACTTGGTGATGTTAAGGGTTTTAAATGGCTCTATTGCTGTGCCCCCTGGTTCCCTTTTCTACAGAATTGTCACCAAACTAACAGAGAACCAACACTTACCTTATTGAAATTATGTAATGTGTTTTTAAGACATATAGCTTACAGATTTTATCACTTAGCATGATTTGGAAATCAAAACTAAACAGAGTTTGGAATAAAAACAACAAATCAAGGATAAGTTAAATAAATATGTTTCCTTAAAGAATGGTTGCATACATAAACATGATCAAACCAGTTGTGGCCATAGTAAATCTTTGGATTTAATAAGGTAATATTAGTTTTTTTATGTATACACACTGGTACAGAGATGTAGTACATCTCTCACTTGACAGCTAATATGCATACAGAGATAAAAACTGATGTAAGCACCAAGTTATAAATTATAAAAAGAATATTCCTGTAGTATATACATGTAGCTAGAATCAGGCTAAGTCATCAGAGTTCTGTAGAGTATATAGCAGGAACTGGGATGTCATTAGGAGATTTAGATAAAATGACATGTATACAAAGGTTTATTTAGATGACAGTTTACACATAAGTGTATATTAAGAAAAGAAAGGCTAATTTTCTCTGCAGCGTTAAATCCACTTAGTAATCTAAAGATGGCCGCTATCTCCAAGTGTAGGGACAATAGAGGCTTAAATTCCGACTGACCAACAATTGAAGAAAATGCAATCCTATTAGCTTTTTAAAAAATATTCTTTTATTCAAACCCTAGGATGTTTCAAAATTGTGAAATGTCTTGGAAAAAGTGAAATTATCTAGCACAAATGAAAAGCAAATAAACCTCCTGACTTTTTGTGTTCCCACAAAACATGTTGGTTTTCTAAATTGAATATCAACATTTTATTCAGGTTACCAGTACTGCCCCAAAGGTAAAAAGATCTGCATCTCGATCCTAATATAAATGTCAATTTCCACAGCTAGTAAATAAATATATAATGTAAATCTTTATACTTCATGAAATTTCGGGTGTGATATTTTAGATCTACATATTTCTTTTATGAGTATTTCTCAGCCACATAAGAAAATTTTCTTGGCTAAGTGTCCCGTGATGGTTATGACAATTTGTATACTGGTACGATATATAACTGCAAAAGAAATTACACTTAATTGGTGTCAAGGTTTTGATCATTATGAATACTACATTTTCCCTCACTTTCAAACTTTTAAATCAAAGTAAATTTTTTATGACACTCAAGATATCATATTTAAAGCAATTGGATATTTAACAATTAATTAAAAACAATAGGACATTATTTGTCAACAAATCACAATATACAGGAATATTTACATAATTAATATCATTCCGCAGGCTGGTAGTTAACTCTTAAATTTCTAGTTTTATCATGTTAATTGAAAACCTTTTTACCATTTCTTGAATTCACTGATTTATTGACAAAGTAAATATAGTAAACATTTACACCACAAGTTGTTTTTCCCATAAACAGAAGTTACCTCCCTTTATTTGTACTTTTTATGATTTTGAACCCTCACAGCATAACCTTTTTATCTGTTCTGTATTACAATCAACTTTTGAATACCAGTAGTTAATGTTTATGACTTATGGGGTGTTTGATACACAGGCAATATAACAGAGACAATGACCACTTTTAATACTTAGGTACCAGTGTCAAGATGAAGTGCTGCACAGCTGGGGAAAATAAACCATTAATGATTGGTCACTGACAAGAGGCTATGTGGGGTGACCACAGACCACAGAATCAGGGACAAAGTAGACCAGTTATAACCTGACCACATCAGTGACAGAAGTCATTAATACAGTAGTAATAACCAGCAGTATATAGGTGACTAACACAATACCATAATGTCACATCTCACATGATAGATATTCTACAGTAATGTAGTTAAGGACAATTACTTAACAGAATTTCAGCTTGTTTGACAGGTTTAAAGTACACTGGGTTGTAAAATACTCATGTCTGTAGGTGATAAGAGGGTAAATGTATACTGTAAGACAATAAACTAGCATTTCTTGACAGTTCAACAAGCTGTGAACAATGTATTGGAGGCAGCTCCTATGCAATTCTCAGAGCTTCCGGGCTGGGCTCGTATTCAGGAGAATTAATGGTGGGGTTGCAGTAGTTTTCTGTTGCCATAGTTTCCCTTACTGTTTGTGTTGGCATGCTATAGTCTTTTGTCTGTGGACAGTTAATCGGTACTAAGATGTCAGTTTTTAAAAGCTAATCCTTGCAGTCAAATCGCTGAACCATATTTTGACATTTGCGGCCTTTTAAGACCACTAAATAAAACCTGTCTCTGTCATGTCTGTGTTAATTATACTGTGTATGACCCCTGGGTCAGTTCCACAAGATTTGTTTACAAGCAAGACTCCCTGTCTTCAGCCACAATAGGCATTCACAGTCAGGCTTCATGTAGATCAAACACGTACAATGACTACAGATTCTTATATGATCAGATGACTATAGAGATTCATAAGGTCTGAGTTACACAAGATTCTGTTTTCATTAAGGGGTACCGTAAGAGTTAATTTGTCCAGAAACATGATCCAAAGGAAAAAAGGTGGTGAGAAAGATCGTAATCACATTTATAGCAGAAAATAAGGTCAGGTCATCCATTGTCAACTTGTGTTCTTGTTCAAATGGGGGTTTTAATTACACCCCTTAAAGCCACATTTGATGTACAGTACCGAAATTCCCACAGTAAAGCAAACATCACATTTATATGGCATTATGAAATGCAAGAATTTAAGCAAAGAAAATTTATAACAGAATATATACTAGTATTTAAATATTTGTCATGATCCTCTGAATAAAAAGAGAAATTTGAGATATATGTAATATTGAGAATTTGAATTCTTGCTTGTATGAATTCCATGCCTTCAAGACAAAGAGATGGACAAATATCTTGTCCAACATATGAAACTATATATATAATATACATACTGTTAAACAGTAAAATTCGGGTTATAACGAAGTCACTGGGACCTTCACTTCGCTATATCCGTAATTCATTATATCCGTATAAGGAATTAGTTAAATTTGTATAGCTGGGGATCCAAGATAACTTCGCTATATCCATAAATTCGCAATATCAGTGTTCGTACTAAATGGGTTTTACTGTACATGGATAATCCAACCTTGTTAACCTGAACTCAATGGGACCAAGGAAAAAAAAACTTTGAGATATGCAAGGATATGAGATATTGTTGTCAAAAATACTTAAAGAATTATAAGCAGTTTTGACTTCCAAATCACTTTGAAATTGTCCATGATATTTGAGACATCAGGGTTCGAGCTATCAAAGTTCAACTGTAATTCAGAGAACCACAAATTTGGAGCCATAGTGAGGGGGACGAATTAGGATTAGTAGCCATGATCCTGTCACCATGTGTACTTTATCAGGCCTGAACAATGTCAACAAATCATCTAGCAATCATCACCATTGAGGAGGAATTTATCTCAGGAAACTCTGATAACTCGGCAATGGTGAGCATGGACAGAATAAAATGTCAACAAGCTTCACTGTCCCACAGAACATAAACCAGTAAATATTAAAACAGGCCCAACTTTTATTTTATAAATTTAATATTGCCATGGAATTATTTGGGTATGATTCAATGTCAACATCTAGATTTTGACAGTAAATAGGATAAACAGGGTAGATCTTCTGGTATTTGGATAAAATGGGAGGAGAATTAGTAGTTTAAGTTAACACTTTTTATTGTATGATAATGAACTAGAAAAGAATGTAACAGTTACTTGGTCATATACATCATTATGGATCTGAGAAAGCAAAATATGTATAATTTTTTTTACTTGTTTAAAATCATCACCATTTGTCCAATTGTATGTCCGTAATGTTGCTTAATATTCAAATAGGTGGTGCACTGTTTTAAATACAGAGACCACTAACTCATTATACTTCACCAAGGGTACTAGCCCATTGTTTATAATACTTACATCACTCTCTGTAACAACTTTAATGTCTTTCCCTGTCACCGAGTTTCTTCTGCGGACTGAAAATTAAAAAAAGAAGATTCTGTAAGTCATTTGTAGGTTGATTTATTGGTCAGGAAGTTTATGAGCAATTAATAAAGCAAATGTTTTAATTTAAATACATTAATACTTATAACAAATATAAATTAACATGTGACTTTTAAAGCATTACACAACTCCACTTAAATTTTAAATACAATCAACATGTTCAAATATTTTTTAAAAGCATTTTTGTATTCAAAATGCACAACTTTTAGTCAAGTTGCATTAATTGCATAATTTGAAAAAGAAAGTTATTAATAATTTTAAAAGTTTTGGACATGTTGCATATTTCATCTGCAAAGTTCTAAGGAAATAGTAGACTTGGTCTGAATATTAACTTTAGGGTTTTTAGGCCTAATAATTCACAGAGGCCATTAAAATGTCAACCAGATAAAATAATCCATTTTTCACTCAAATTATATTCTTTAGTGTCCATTTTCATTACAAAATAGCTTTAAATCATATGCTAATGAGAAAGCTTTAAAAGATATATATTCCAAAGTCCTTGATTATAAATATAAAGTCTTTACCTTATGATGAATTTAATACCATATACATAAAAAAATTTAGAGTTTAACTAGGAAATGAATAAATTTTTTAGTTTGACTCATTTTTTTCTCGAGATGAAGTCATTTAGATCTATATATCAATAGTAAAGCAGATCATGATATTAAACAATTGCTGACTCCTGACAAAATTGATTTTTGGTCTTTAGACTACTATGACCTCACTAAGCTGGTTCAGGAACTGTTTGTCCAATACCAAAACCAGGTCAAAAACTTGTTTAATTTCAAAATAATCAAGATTTGTCACACTATACTCTGTATCATATTTATTGAATAATTAATATAAACTAAACAGAATGTTAATACTTTATAGGTTAACAATTCTATCAACAGACAAATCAATGATGTCACAATCTCCACTGCCTGCATGCCCCCTCCCTCCTGACCTGTCCCATTTTTCAATTCAAAAATAGGGTAATTATAAACTTTCTTTTCGGAGCAATCTCAGAAAAGACCACCTTAAACATTCAGAGAACATCAAATCTCCTGATATTTTAATAAATTTGTAATTTGTAAAGGCTGCAAAAGTTCATTCTTGCATGGCTTATATCTAAGGTATAGATGTGTCATGTCAAATGTTTTTTCAATGCAGTACCTTCATTTGTATTCTTTCATTTCCTGAATTCTTTTAAGAAGTACTGATATCAGATATGACAAGTCAAATACTTGATATAGTATAAGCTATTATGCAAAGGAATTCTTGTATTCTCCATTTAAATTTCCTGTGGCCCAAAGAGAATCCAAAAAGTCAATTGTCAAGATAGATGTGTTGAAATCAATTGGACTTATTCCAAAGAATTCCAATAAAACACATGTGGAGATAAATTTTAGACCAAGTTTTCAATACACATTGACTCTGTGTTTAATCCCCCAGTAAAGTATAAACCCAAACAATTCAGAATGGAATGTAAGAATGTTTAAACTAGAGCCTGAATGAAGGAGGACCCTTAGTTCTCTTTAAGTTTTACATCAATATCAGTGTGTATTGAAAATTGATATCATATCTATATACATGTATTGAAAACTGGTATCTAAAATATTGATTCCAGTACAAAATCAGACTAAGTTTGTAGGTTTATGCCAATAACCTGATAATTCTGCATGTTTTTTGTATAAATGAATTTATAATTACCAACTAGCTATAATGAGTATTCTAAATTCATGGTCACATCTGTCTTTTGTTTTACATGAGACAGAACATAGGTTAACCTGAATTCCATTTCATAAGCTCATGTAAATGTACATGTATACTGAATAATAAAGTTTGTACACTTCTGATTTGGTGCCTTTTTAGTACTGTAAAACTCTTCAACTTGATTTCAATACAATGCTTCACACATTCCAAATGGTGACAGCTATATTTGACCAATCTTAACCTTATACACTTGTCTTATACAGATCTGACCTTGACCTTCACCTCAGTCACATGTGAAGCTTACTTTTACAGGTAGACAGGGTCCTCCTTAAAACCAAAAGGTGTGAACTGTCAGACAGAGATATAGGCCAAAATTAGTGAATTTGACAAGTGTATGACAGTATCTGATTGCCAACCTCATAACAAGCAAAACCATCCAAGAGCAGACTTATCTAGTGCATCCTTTATGACATTTGGAACCGATTTTTAGACAAAACAAAAGTAGGAACCCCCTGTAGATCAGAATTCATATTGTACACACTGACAGACAGTAAAGACATATTATGTCTGGATATGAAGACTACATTTACATATTTCCACTGTGCAATCAGCTTTTATGAAGCAGGATTTGAAGTTAACTGTTCCTTCTTAAAGGACATGGATTAACAGCTAGAGCCTCAGCTGAAGATCACACTTAGCAAATAGGATTACCGGTACTTCTCTCGTAATGGGCCTTGGTCCACCATCAGACTGTGATACTTGTCCACGCTATGATGTATGAGGGAGTGAGTCATGCCCCTCCTCTATCTGTAGTCACCTGGTCACTTAGACGGACTAGAGTCAGGAATTTTCTGCCCCACTTGGCGCTAGGAGCAAGGACCTTTGGAAATCATTTTAGCGATGTTTTGTCAAAATATTCTTAGTGTACAATTACACAAACTTTGTCCTAAAGGGCTTTATGGTTTCTTAGATCTTTTTTCATTCAGCATGTTCAGAGAATGTGTGGTTAAATGATGAATATATAAACATAAACAGACATGCTTTGAAATACATGTAGTACCAAATTCCTTACCTTGTCTTTATTGTGATGAACGGTGAATGACAAATTATAAAAACATACAACTCTCGATCTATTACTTTGATTTTCTCTGGGCCAATTTATGACCAGTGAATGTTCTGTCATCATTATAGTCAAACTATCCAAAAAATTTCATATAATGAAAAATTTAAAAAGAGTTTTGTATATTCCAAATGCGTATCTTACATTTGTAATTGATGTAGTATTTTTTGTCATTTGGGTGACTCAAATTTCTGGTCCCCTTTCCCAATCACTCAGAGGTGGGAGGGGTAGGGGGTTCCTGGGGGTAAAGGGGTTTGACAGTCACCCAAAGGAGGGGTGGGGTTGAGGGGTTATAGGAAGAAGCAGTTTTCATCCAAAGTAATCATGATAGGCAATCAATATTTAGTATTAAAATAATGTAGTCTAGTAGCATTTTCCAGTCTGACATTTATTTGATTGTGTGGCATAATCTGACAGTCAGCTGTCATCAGTGCTACTGCAAGCAGAGAAACACAATCATCAGATATTAGATCTCCCTTTCTATCTATCCCACAACCCTTCTACACAGTACACGGTCCCTCAATAATACTGCCTCCCTTAATCTACCCAGCAACACCTCTCAACAATCTCCCAATACACTGATGTTTAATTCTACTAGATACTAATGTCACAGGCTTTTAACTTATCTTCACCAAATAAAGCCACACGTTTTATGTAAATGTGAATCAATCAATTTTAATCAATGTCTTCAGGACTTGGAGCACCTGTTAGAATTGATTGATTGTTGCCCTGTTCTGCAACATGTAGAGACTGTCAAATATCAATGTCTGACATAAATGAGAGAAGCTCAGAAGCTGCAACAAAAATTTTGTTTTTCTCTCTCCTTTTCAATGCAGAGCATGCTTTATCTGTTACAGTTCAAACCCTGCTAATTATCCTAGTGATGAGATCTGCAGAGAGAGTGATTTACAGCTCTCAGACAGTTAGCTTTGTTGTAACCAGCCACTATATATGATTATGTAAGGGTTGATGAACACCAGTCAGATTTGTCAAATCATCGAACATTTTGATCTGACAGGACAATTGCTGAAAAGGCACTTACTTTTAACACAAGCTAGACCTTAGTGTCCTTGAACATAATGAATGTGATCTTTTTTGTTAAAGTTAAAAAATAATTTTTCAAAACTTTGCCATTTTCAATAAAGTTCTTGCGTCCACCCCTACTTCAAATACAAAGTTCTAAAACATTCCCCGTACAATGTGATTAAATGTTAGGTGACTCCCTCTCATAAATTCACTAGTACAGGTATTTACTCAATCAATTTATCATGTTACAAAAATAGGCATGTCATACAACAGTTATTGATCACTTTTATTCCCAAAAATGTTGAAGTACATCTTTTGTTTTGAAAGACCTGAATGAAATTTTTCTCAAGGTCAGGTTATTTAGAAGTAAATACATATGCTTTATAATTTCTAATAAATGCATGAATGATGCTGTCAAAAGACATTGAATGTTAGAAAGGATTCCAGGAAACATTACTTTTTTGCAAGAATTCTCTTTAGACATACATGAAAGGGATAATGTTAAAAGACCAGGTTCTGCACTACAGCTGGGAAGTGGCATAAAATCCATTATTAGCTTGAAGGTCAACAAGATGTCTCACACATTTGATAGGTAGACCCTGCCACAACAGCAGGTGGGGGGATTGTATGGTGAATCTACCCCCCTACACCAATGGTCTGCATTTTGAAGACCGCATTTATGGGTTCACAACTGGCACGACTTTTGACACACATGGATGGGCAAGACTCAAGACAACATGAAAAGAGAGGGTGCTATATTCAATATATGAAAATACCAGTACATGTAAATCCATAAACAAACTCAATGATGGAGCAAACGCACTATTTTAGTGAAGCAGGGACTAATTAAAATAGCATTTTTTTCTTTTTAATGATTTCTATATGTTTACTGAAATGCAGTTAAAAGGTGATTTATAGTATAATAACAGCAAGATATTGCCTCATGTTAATAGTACCAGCTGTTTTATGGGATGTGTGTAATTATAAATCTAGAAGGCTGATGATAACAGGCTGAATTTACATTCAGACCATAGTGAATATTACCATAAATTAACAAAATACTAGGCCAAACAAAAAAATAACTTTGTTTACTGTTACATGCTGAAATAAAATATTTTAGCTAATTTTTTT